ATACATGACTTTTACTCTGCAGTTTTAATCCCTTTAATTCACAGGAGAACGGGGATTAAATGTTTAAAGGTAAATCTCCCCCCGCTGTGGGCCAGTTGTTCAACATTTAGTTTTGTTTCTCAGCCACTGTGAAATTGTGCATGAGTCGAGGTAACTGCTAATAAAGCTGACAATAGAGAAATAAACTTAGACAAACAAAAACACAGATCCTGACACTGTGTGCTGCTTAAAACCTGATCATATTTATTTGAACTGTCTTTGTTGTTACATTTTGATGTTAGGCTGTACAACAAGGTAAGGCTGGGCTATGAAAAATAACAATATATCGCGAAAGACACATGATCATTATCAATAAATAGAATGTTTAGAAATTCTGGGAAAGAGGAAAGGCTTTATCTGCTCGACCTCTCACGCTCCAGCTTGTCAAGGTTAGTGGCTCCCAGGGTGGGCCTCTGCCATATAGGCAGAGAAGGCAAATGCTAAGGGCACTGTCCATTTAGGGGGCACTACAGATGTTTTTTTTTTTATCAGAGTGCTGTTTATTCAGTCTGGGTTTATGAAGTTAATGTGTTCTGTGGGTTTCACTGCTTTGTTACTACATGTGGTGTTATATGGTGCAGAGACTATTTCATAACGAAAGTATGCAGATGCAAATACAGTCAAGACTAACTCCTAGTGCTCACTGTGTAAACAGAAAACAAAATAAAGATAATGGAAGGTTCAGTTCTGATCTCAGATAAAGTTTAAGTTAAAAGCTGGTTTTCCGTGTTCTACTTTCACAAAATACTGATTGTAAGTGGTTTTATTGATCCCAAGAATTTTGCAAAATGCTCTGGAAAAGGCCGGAAAATGCAGAGTTGTGAGTAGATCTTTGAGTATGTCCCTGGACCCCCCTAGAACTGCTTCAGTCCACAACTGCTCGTTAATAACAGGTGTTCCTCATTGTTGTCAGCACTGGTTTTCTGTTTCAAATTAGTTATTCAGTTGACTGTTTTAATTGGACAACCTGGTTTCTAAAGATAAAAAGTATTACCAAAGACAAAATTATTTAACTTGGCAATGAAGAGTGAAAGGGGAAAATGAGTGCAACAGATGGAGAAGAAATTGGGGATAAAGGAGGAAAGGTCGTGTCAGCAGTTTGGRAGGATTAATCAGCCTTTTTTTTTGTCCTGGTTCTTAGTTCAAATAGGTTAAACAAAAATCTAATTTGATATTGACATAAGAAATGTTTTTATTGTGATATATTTGTCAGTCGTATCGTCCAGTCTTACAACAAAGATGCATTGGTGACAATGTTTTGTATCGACAGACTGCACCGCTGATATTGAAATATTATTCTGTTATGTAACTGATAGCTATAAGAATGGGTTATTGTTCATCACAACTGACTCATCAATAGAAAGATAACAGACCTGAATGGCTCTGGACAACGTTTGAGAGTGGGAGTGATGAGGCTGACGCCTGGACAGCTCGGGGTAAATCTGATCTCCCTGTGGTCACAACCAGATGAATCATAGCTCAGAGGGAACAGTCCTTGGCATTGGTCAGATCTGTCTCTGTTTGGAGCTGGATCTGTATTTGAGCCATATTTGTCCCCTCCTGGGTTTTACAGAAGGTCAGCATGATCTGATGCTAGTTTTCAAACCAGCAAGCTTTACACTAGAGATTCATGTGAAAACATTTATTTTTGTTTGATTTGCCTCATTGTTATGCCTCCCCCTATATATACTTGTCCTACTGCAGCTACTATAGTTTTGTGCACAATTAATTTAAGAATACACAAAAGGCAAAAATTACAGGCAGAAAAAAAATTACATGAAAGTGTAGTGCAGTGGTGGGCAGCACTAATCTAAAAATTAATTCCAGTAGCCCTAAAACACTAACTCAAATATTTAGGTCCCTTAATTCTAAAGCACTAACCCACTGAAAGTTTTAGCAAAAGCTAAATCTAAAGCACTAAAATAACCCAGTCAACCCGTGAACATTCTTCATCAGACAACATGAGTCACATGTTGCTCTATTAAGACTTATCACTGACATTCCACAGCTGTATTTGTATTCATATATTGTCACCTGGTGGATAAGTGACACACATATTAACAAAATGTGAGACAGTTTTCACCCTCAGCTGTTAACATTWACGTTGATCAATAACATTTATAGACCTCAGTAAGTGCTTCTAAATTTAGCCTATACGTGTTGTTCTAAAAACCTGGGTAAATTTTTTGCATTGATAGTGCCTTTCCAGATATGATACAGTATTTAAGCTTCCCATGCTGGCGGCACTAATGCACCCCTATATTAACAGAGAGGCAGGTTTTAGACAGTGTTGAAACAAGTTGGATTATTTTGTTCTCTTTAGTAGGGAAGACAAGGTTTCCACAAAAAAAATAGAAAATCTAAGTTTAATTCAGGTGATCACCGAACAGTTTTCCTTTTTGCCCCATTCCATTTAGAAAAGGCCAGGAAAAGATGACATCATCTCTGGATGGTGTTCACAAATCGCTTCTTATTTGCATTTTACAACTTTTACAAGTGTTTGATAARATAATTCTGAGAAATTAAACCTCTGTTGTTGCCCCGTCTCCATATTATTGAGACGTGTTGCTGTCATATAATTCAAAACAACCCTGGTTTTTTAATTCTCAGTTTAAATGTTTGATATGTTTACTGTGTGCTGTTAATAAAATTTAGTTTAGCAAATCAAATAAATAAATAAATAAATAAATTTAGCCTATAAACTCTGTTACCAAGTGCTAATCCACTAATAAATTTTAAAATTAGCAAAAGCCCTAAAGCACTAATCAGGAAATTAGTTCCCCTATTAGTGCTTTAGGGGAACTGTGCCCATCAGTGGTGTATGTTTTTGAAAGTGTCCTGATGCATCTCAGTAATCCACGTAGAAAAATCAAAAAGAAAACTCAGTAGGTCCTCTGGATGGCTTCAACACTAATGAAACGTTTCATCTCTCCTCCAAGAGATTTCTTCAGTCTGAGGAGTTTCAGGTGAACTCAGGCTTATCAGCACCGCCTGCACATCGTGGACAAACAGGTTGGTCACATGCAAAAGAGGGCCATCAGACAAACAATAGGTCATGGTGTCTTGATTAACTCTATAGAAGGTCATGTGCTCCATCACCTGACTATCACTGTGGTCCTGATTCAGACCTTTTGTTCACAGGGGTCTGAGTCATACTTCCAATAACAGTATTGTAGGAGGAGGACAACTGGACACGAAGGCCTCCACCTCTGTTTATTGATGGACAGTTTTTCTTCACAAAGATGGCTTCCTTTACTCCTCTCTCAACCCAACGTACCTCTCTATCAAGGATGAGAACATCTTCATCCCTGAAAAAGTGACTGCTGGCCTGTAGATGAGTGTAAACTGCAGAATCATGGCCTGTAGATGAGTGTAAACTGCAGAATCATGGCCTGATGATGCAGCTCTTCTGTGTTGGCTCATTATTTTTGAACAGTGGCTGCTTTGTTTCCCTGATGTATAACTGATCACACCCTTACTTTTTGTATATTTTTGAAACACTTGTATTTCTAAAAAAAATATTTCCTATCTTAATGTCTTATTATCTTAAAAAACACATATCTTTTCCATCAAAATAGCAAAAAATTGTTAAATACTGTATTTTGAATGAATATGCAATTAAAAAAAGACACTTAAGCATCATTTAGGTCTAAAAAACAGACACACAGACAACAAAAGAATCCAAAAAAATTGGAATGTGGCTTTTTTTTCTCCATCCATCCATTTTCTTCCGCCTATCCGGGTCGGGTCGCGGGGGCAGCAGCTTCAGAAGGGAGGCCCAGACCTCCCTCTCCCCAGCCACTTCTTCCAGCTCCTCCGGGGGA